ATAAAATCTTAGTTTGTCCCCTCCCGAATGATGAAGGAATGTTGTGCTCTATTTTTAATATTATGTATTGTCTTATGCTTTTTTTTTGTCTTTGTACCCCCCTCCCCGTGTTTTGTAAGCCGCCCTGAGTCCCCTCAGGGAAAAGGGCAGCCTATAAATTATAATAAACACTCTAAACACTCTAAACACTCTTGTTCAACAGTCATCCTTTGTTTATTGCCATTGGGTGCGGATTGCATTTGGCCATCTCAAAGTGTTTTTTCCCCCGTCCAAAAGATAACTGGACTTTCTTGGTGCTGCATAGTAACAGACTGCCAAGTCCTCTGGTTTGAGGCTGTTCATTTGCAGATACAGCTGGTTTTTGGCATTGTCCTTGGAGATGGCAAAGCGCCCCTTCACTTGGTCTGAGTAATAGTAACAGAACTGGATCTAGCTTTGAAGGTCCACAACCAGCTATGAAGATTTATCTAGTGCTTCACATTCAACTTCCTGTGACTGAATCACTTTGGAAAGCTGCTCAAAGGAGGAGAAGGTTTTTGCTTAGCTTCAGATTCACTTCCTCTCACTGTGTCTCTTGCACAGTAATAGACTCCTGTGTCTTCGGTTTTGAGGCTGTTCATTTGCAGATACAGCTGACTTTTGGCATTGTCCCGGGAGATGGTGAAGCGGCCCTTTACTTTGTCTGAGTAGGAAATAGCACCGGCATCATATCTTATGTAGGCTATCCATTCCAGTCCTTTCCCTGGAGCCTGTCTCACCCAGTACATGCTGTGGTCACCAAAGCTGTATCCAGAACCTTGGCAGGAGAGACGGAGGGATTCTCCAGGTCTTCTCACATCCCCCCCAGACTCCACCAACTGAACGTCAGATTGGACACCTGAAATGAAAGTTGCATCAGTGAACTTTCCAGTATAAAAGAATTAAAAATGAAAAAGCTGAACACAGAGGATAGAATTACCTCTCAAGACTGCTAGTAAGGACACTAAGTTTAGCCACATGATCATTTTTGCTCCCGCTAATGAACTTTGCCCAAACTTTGTACTGGTGGGTGTAGCCTGCAAAGGGAAACCATTGGAGTTCTTTTAAAGGGGAAATTGGGCCCTGATTTACATAATACTTGGGATAAAAAAGCCCCTTGATGCATTCACTTATCGTTTTCCTAGTCTGTTTTTCAAAAGATATTGGAAGAACCTCATGCTGAGAGGACTTTGACATGCTTTATGTCTGGAAATCAGGTTTGGTTTCCCGATTATGGAAAAATTGCCCGATAGCAAAGAAACGTCTTCCTTTATGACTGCCCTGTTCATTGCAATAAGGGTAGTCAATTTTGGGGCCTATCATGTGATGTCCCACTTTATGACCATCATGACTGATGAAGTCCAGGGACCTTGTAGGTCATTGAGTCCAACCCCCTACAGACTTTTTGACAGTCCAGTTTCTTCTTGACTGCTTCCAATGATGAAGCTCCCACAACTTCTGAAGGCAACTTCTGTTCCAAGGGTTGATTGCTCTCACTGTCAGTTTCATCCTTGGCTTCTTTTCTTTCCTTCAACCCCTTTTATTGAGATTAATTACTGTTTTGCATCCCCAGTAGTTATCCCTTATTAGTTGAAGAGATTTCCCCCTCTTCCCTCTTTTTAAACATCCTCATGGGAACTTGAGTCTGAAGCTGGAGCAGAAAACAATTTTCAACCTGACAAAGTTATTGGCATTTTGCTGAATTCTGTTGTTTGCCCTTCTTTATATAGTGCTCACTTGAATGATTCCATGTTGTTCGTGGGGTATAATCTAAACGGTAAAGCAGTCAAATTCACAGCTTGAACCACAGATTTTTATTTCAGTGATGGACAAAAATATTAGGTGTTTTGCGCCTCCTCTGACGTCCCTTTGCAGATACAGAGGTCAGTTGACGTCGTCTCTGGAGATAGCAAAGAACTCTTTATGGATTCTCCATAGACTTATTTACTGGCATCACCCAATCCATTCTAGTCCATTCCCTGTTGACTGTCACACACAACTCCCAACTCCGTATTGTGAGCTCTATGAACCATTACGGATTCCTTGTAACTGCAAATGCAGAGGTTCCTTCATCTTCAATTCAAAAACAGAATATTTCTTTGGGCTTCTATTTTCACTAATTTATATTGGTCTCCCTTTTTTAAGTCTAAAAATATTCTACTGATCCATGGAGTATTCTAATGCTATGATGAAGATCGATCACCTGCTCCTCAGTTCAAAGACTCAAAGTCAAATTGCCAACAGAAGTTGTGAATGCTCCAACAGTTTTTAAGAAGATGTTGGATAACCATTTGTCTGAAGTGATGTAGGGTTTCTTGCCTAAGCAGGGGGTAGGACTAGAAGACCTCCAAGGTCCCTTCCAACTCTGTATATTCTATTCTATTCCTATTCCTATTCCTATTCCTATTCCTATTCCTATTCCTATTCATATTCCTATTATACTCTACTCTACTCTAAAATATACCAAGGAAGATCTCTAGGACTTCAATCCATGTTTCTTGCTGTAAATGAAATTTAACTGTTTAAAAGTTACCTAGTTTATACCACAACCTCGAGATTCTCTCCCCCACCGCTCCACCAAAGTGCAACCTAGGTTAAACATGGCTTCCTTGCATATAAGATTTGAGGATCCACAACCTCTTATGAACTTTATCTAGTGTTCACCTTCAACTACCTGTGACTGGATTATTTTGGAAAGCTGCTCAAAGGAGGAGAAGGTTTTTGCTTAGCATCAGATTCACTTCCTCTCACTGTGTATCTTGCACAGTAATAGACTCCTGTGTCTTCGGTTTTGAGGCTGTTCATTTGCAGATATAGCTGCCTTTTGGCATTGACCCTGGAGATGGTGAAGCGGCCCTTGACTTTGTCTGAGTAGGAAGTAGCACCGGCATCATATCTTATGTAGGCTACCCAATCCAGTCCTTTTCCAGGAGCCTGTCTCACCCAGACCATGCTGTAGCCATCAAAACTGTATCCAGAGGCTTGGCAGGAGAGACGGAGGGACTCCCCAGGTCTTCTCACATCCCCTCCAGACTCCACCAATTGGACCTGAGATTTGGCACCTAAAATGAAAGTTGTGTCAGTGAACTTTCCAATATAAAAGAATTAAAATTGAAAAAACTGAACACAGAGGATATAATTACTATTGCTGTTATTATACCAATAGTGGCCATAAAAACTGCATGTCATAGAGAGCAAATATTCCTTAGCTC